TGTGTGTGTGTGTGTGTGTGTGTGTGTGTGTGTGTGTGTGTGTGTGTATGTGTGTATAGCAGGGGAGGGAATTGTGGGTGGGTGTGTATGCATATATATATGTATGTGCATGCATATACACACGCCTGATTTTCCTGTAGAAATAATATCTTCCAGACGCATACACAATACAACCTATCCATTCTGATATTAAATACATTTTCAGGCTCCGGGCTCTTTTAAAAATAGTATTTCACAGTCCGCTTACGTGCTAAGAAGTTATTGTTTCTAATCGTCAACTCATAATAACATGTGTAAACTGTCACTATTAGGGTTACTATCGTTTTTTCTGTATGTCTGTGATCATGGGAAAGTAATTTTCCTCATTTACGGCAATGAAATCATTATATGGAACTGGGGTTTGAATGCACAGTCTGTCGTTAGACCTATCATTAGAGACCAATCCTGAATTCATGTCTTGAGCTTTCAGTTCCCAATCCACCCTTGCCCTTTTGATATATTGGATTCAGTCCGTAAGCACTATGCCCTTCAGCCTTCCATTCCCTCTCCATGCCTTCCTTCTCTAGTTTGTTTTTGTTGGTTTGTTTTGTGATAGAGTCTCACTTCATAGTGAGACTAACCCCAAATTTACAATCATTCTGCCCAGAGCTGGGACAGTAGGTGTTCAGTATAAGCTCAGGCCTCATTCCTTTTTAGACTGCCCTTCATTTGAAGTCATTTTCTCTGCAATGGGAGCTTTTGTGATGGAAACTGTAGTCCAGAAATCCTCAGGTTTTCACCCTAGATTTCTGTTTTGCTTTTAGGCATCTGGGAACAAAGTTAGTCGCCAGTCTGTTTTGTGTGGAAGCCAGAACATCGTTCTCAATGGCAAGGTAAAGAGCACAGGCAGCTTCAGGGGGCATACCTTTGCTTCCTTTGACTAGTCACTGTACCAGCAGGGTATATAAAATAGTGCTGTGTCTCCAAATGTCATGTCTAGTTCTCTCTCTTTGTTTTATTTTTCTCCAAATTAGATTTATTGAATGCACAAAGATGATCAATGAAGAGAAACCAAGAAATTAAAGAGCAGTCCATTAGAGAGGGAATAAAGAAAAAGGTTTTTTTTTTTTAAGATTTATTTATTATGGATACAGTGTTTTGCCTGCATGTATCCCTGTGGGTCAGAAGATGGCGACAGATCTCAGCATAGATGGTTGTGACCCACCCTGTGGTTGCTGGGAATTGAATTCAGGACCTCAGGAAGATCAGTCAATGCTCTTAATCTCTGAGCCATGTCTCCAGCCACGAATAAAGAAGCTTTAAGGAAGAGGAGTAGGGAGGGCAGTAACACATGAAATATGACAGGAGAGGGCACACGAGACACAGGGGCAGCTAGATGGAGAAGTGTAAGCAGAGGAATTTCATCTGAACTGAATGTAAACACTTTTGTTATTTTCTTCAATACTGTATTCAAATAGGATTTACATTGCATTGGATATTATTAATTAGAAGGTGGTGGTGGTTGAGGGAAGGACCAGAAATCTTTTATGTCTGAAGAAAACACAGTGGCAGATTGTTCTGCTATGCTGTAGACACAAAACTCAAAGAGGCAATATCTTAAGTATTTTAAAACAGAATTCAGGGAAATAGACTACACTGGTAATTTTTAAATGTATTTTGCTTTATAGACCATTATAATGAATGACTGTATCATCCGAGGAGACCTGGCAAATGTAAGAGTTGGACGTCACTGTGTTGTGAAAAGTCGTAGTGTCATAAGGCCACCGTTCAAAAAATTCAGCAAAGGGTATGTGACATAATTACCTGTTTGCAGTCCTAGGCTCCATACTGTTCCTGCTGATATTGCCCACCATGTGTTTAGATGTGTAATGAGAAGGTCTGGCCATTTGGGGGCACTGCAAGGGACTCACAGTAATGGACCTCACTCTGGGTGCTTGTAACCTTGTTCATTGTTTTCTGTCAGCAGTAGAAAAGTCCCTACCAAAAATAGACAGCCGAAGCATAGACAGTAAAGCCTGGGTAAAGGGTGAAGGTGGCGTTTCCTCTCGCATGTATGCCAGAATCAAATAATGCTGAGATATTTGGATTTTTAATTTAAAATTACAGAATGCTCAGGACTGGTATGGCCTATAGTTTCTTAAACTGCAAGTCATGACCCTGTATAGTTGTTGCATAATTCAGTATGGAGGGCTATGAAAATTTGACAACAAATGAAAGGTTTCTGTGAATGTAAAACCAAAAATTAATTAAAAACGAAATACAGAATGAGTCTAAGGTTTCTGGCAGTACATGCTCATGGTACATCCTCTGACACCACTGCAGCCTCAGCTCTGCACACATGCGTGCACACTGCACTGTGCATAACACCATACAAGCCATACCAATGAGTGCTTCCTGAAGTGTTCCACTCAGGTTTGAACTACAGTATAAATTCTAATATCTTTATTGTATATCTTGCTGCTATTAGAGAAACAATGGTTTAGTTATTGAAAATAAACTTTTCATATTTTCTTACAGTCATTCCTTAACATGTAAGTATAAAATTAGTATATCCTTGGATTTTATCATATTAGAACGGTGGGTTTTGAGGCTAGAGAGATGGTTCAGTGGTTAAGAGCACCACTGCTCTTACAAAGGACCTGGCTGGTTTACAGCTGCCTATTGTTCCAGTTAAGGACTAGTTCCTTCTGGCCTCCTTGGACTCTTTTTTTTTTTTTTTTTTTTTTTTTGGTTTTCGAGACAGGGTTTCTCTGTGCAGCCCTGGCTGTCCTGGAACTCACTCTATAGACCAGGCCGGCCTTGAACTCAGAAATCCACCTGTCTCTGCCTCCCAAGTGCTAGGATTAAAGGCGTGCACCACCACTGCCCGGCCTTGGACTCTTACATACATGGGGTGTACATAAATTTATGCAAGCAAATACACATATGTAGAGGAATTTTAATCCAGCAAAGGGCTACTCTGGCTGGAATACAGACACACTTTAGGACACACCTTTAATTCCTCTGGTTTGAATACAGACACACCCTTAGTACACACCTTTAACCCCAAACAATGAAGGTAAAGTTAGTTTGTAGATGGAAAGGCCTGTGCTTGAAAGTGATGTCTAATTGAGAGGCAGACAAAGTAACAAAACAGAGAAAGATTTGACACTAGGATCTGCCTGACTCTCAGGAGATTAGAGAGGAAAGAGGCAACATAAAGGAAGAGAAGAAAGGAGGCAGTTTTACTGGGAGAGTTTTACAGAGACAGGTTGAAGAGAGAACAAGCCAGAGAATGAGAAGGAGCCAGAAGTCAGAACCAATTGCCAGATTTAGTATGAGGCTAAGCAGAGCAATTCAGTCAGAGGCAGAGAGAAGCCAGACTGAGTCAGTCATCTTAGAGAGGCATTTAAGCCAGAAGAGCTGAGTTGAACCAGCCAGCCAGAGCTTAGAAAGAACTAGGAAGGCTGAGCTTAATCAGTAGCAAATCTCAGAGACTGAAAACATTCTAGGCCTAGATAAGATTGTATGGAGGCTAGAAGCTTCCAAGACTGTGCATAGGTTAGCAGACAGAGGCAGTAAGCCTCTGAGACAACAATTAGATCAGGAGAATAAAAGATACTTTTACACACAGACATATAAAACAAATCTTTCAGGAAAAAAATTGTTGTTTTACACAGTTGTTCTTTGAGTTGCTGGCCTGAGTTCATTAAAAGGAAAAGTTAGTCAATGTATTTTGTCTTGAGATTAGGACATATTTTCCCAGTAGATTCTGAAATGGCTTTAAACATACCTGCCATTTTGTACTAAGTATTTCTGTACAGTGTCGTTCTGAGCATTGATAATTATAAAATTAGAGTATCAGTCAACTCTGAGCAACAGTGAAGATGCTCTGTTTTGCGTTATTAAATACCCAGACAAGACTTAATTATGTAAAAATAAATGAACACACCACAGCATACACACTTGCTTTTGTCTTTAATAATGGTAAAGTTATATGTATATCAAAGTTGGTTTTGGTTTTTTTTTTTTTTTTTTTTGGTTTGGTTTTTTGAGACAGGGTTTCTCTGTGTAGCCCTGGCTGTCCTGGAACTCACCCTGTAGTCCAGGCTAGCCTCGAACTCTCGAACTCTCGAACTCAGAAATCTGCCTGCCTCTGCCTCCCAACAAAGTTTTGTTTTTAAAAAATTTCTCTATGATTTACAGTGAGATTGGACACATTCAGATCACTATGGCCATAGGCTGCTTATGATGTATTTCCAGTAAATATTTGTGTGTATGTGTGTTTGGGATAGGTCTAGTGTAGCTCAGCCTCACCTTGAACCCTCTCCACCCCCTCCCCAGTTTTTCTCACTCAGCCACCTAAGTGCTGGGGTTATAGGTGTGTGCCACAGCACTCAGCTTAAATGTTTCACTAGGAAACCTATTCTATATAATTGTATACCTAGGTATACAATTGTATACAATTATATAGAAAAAAATTTCTTGGGTAAAAAAGTATCAGGAACAGAAAAAGTTTAAGAGGGTTT